ACCTTCTGAACACTGCCTGGAATAAAGCATCATCATTTTCCTTTAAAACCTTTCATTGGTGCTACCACTCCCTCTCATGCAACTCAGCTGCCAAATATTTCATTTTAATTGTGTCACTGTCTGTAAAAATGCTGTCATATCTGAATAATATCACCACGAACATTTACATAAAAGACATCTGTGTCTGGCAAAATGACAAATGTCTGAAAAATGAGACAACATTAACGTTAACATTAAAATGACAAAGCCTGTTAGTTGCTTTAGTAGTAACTATGAATCATGTCCATCATGAACAAAAGAGGTAATCAGGAGTTGTTGCTGAAAATGGCTTATCACCGTCAAGTTATGACTGACAATGGCAGAGTGACTATTGGGAATTTCTTGATGGGCCAAACTGGGCTGGTGGCACAGTATAAAAAACAGAGACAAAGAGAGAAGTGACAGCAAGACAGATGGCTGATAACTTTTCACATGTAAAATATACAAGATGTATAATTTGATATAGTTGTATGAAAGGGCTGATATAAAAACATAGTAAATCACAGAACCAGATGTCCACTTCTAGCATTCAGTGCTATACTTGAAAAACAGCTGTCTGCTACAAATGAAGATAAGCAGTGACAGTGAACCTAAACAGAGCAGAAAACCAAAACAATGAGTTAAACTAGAATGACTGCTTTGCAATGGTATGCCTCCGCTAGCCAGTCAACCTCACAGGAATAGCACAGATGTGAGGTCATTGACCTTGACCTTTGACCACCAAAATCTAATCAGTTTATATGTGAGATGTGGACATTTGTGCCAAATTTGAAAAAAAAAAAAAACTCACTTAAGGTGTTCCTGACATATTACATTCACAAGAATGAGCCAAACACGAGGTAACAGTGACCTTGACCTTTGGCCACTAAACTCTAATCAGTTTCATCCCTGTGTCCAAGTGAATACTTGTGCCAAATTTGAAGATATTCCCTCAAGGCGGTCCTGAGATATCATGTTCACAAGAATGGGTCAAATGGAACCCAAAAACATAATGCCTCTGGCTGCAGCCATTGTCAGCACGGAGCCCGATCTCACAGCATAGTGTACAATAGCTACATTGATCCACTGTAATAACAACTGTAAAATTGCAACATGGCAACATGGCAACATTTGTTGTATTGTAGCCCATCTGCCGTCTTCATGGTCTTCTTCTTGATGTTTTACGGCAGTTGTCAAACAAGGAAATGGCACATTACTGCCACCAACCATGGAGACAGAAATTAACATGCAGTGTCTGGCGAAGGCATATGGTTTGGAACTTTATCATTTTAAAAACACTAGAAGTTGGTGGCATGGTACCAACTGGCATGGTACCAAAGATACCAGTTTGTGCCAGATGGGTGTGGCTTCTGTTCCATTTAAATCCAGCACATGAAATGGTGCATGTTGCTTGTGCCTACCTGAAGCTACCGGATAAACTGTGACACATCAACAAAATATCATGTGGAATCTAACTGAACGGTGAAGAGCAGCATCTTTTCGGTCAGAAAATGTGAGCACCATATCCTAGCCCACAACATTTGATTATGAATCAGAACCTCTGCAGATAGGAAATCTGAATCTTGCTGAACTTGACAGTTCATTCTTTGACCTAGATTGTGTAAAATCATGGTTGAATAACATGAAAAACTGATAAAATCACACCTGATATTAATATGGTGCCCTGGTATTTGGGGTAGTATCTCCATCAGTGATGTAGACTGTTCTCTTTGTGTTCAAAAGGAGAGACATCATGTTCCCTTAATATGAAAGTACAGCCTATTTTAACATTATCAGATGATGAAGATCAATCTCCTATCGGTACCTTCTGCTGCCTGCTCCATTCAGGAGAGTTTCCACACCCTTGCTGCTATGTAACAAGCAACATTCTAACATAGCCAAATGGAACACAGCCAAACAAACAGAGACTGACACACCCCAACGCCCAATTTCTTTTGGAATATGACTAAAACTAAGAAATATATTTTACCTTTAAAAAACATGATTTCAGCTCTCTAGATGCACATTTATCAAAGCTGCATTCAAATGCTTATGCCTCATAAAACATAACAAAATTACATCATATATAGCTACTAAATATTGAAAAGTGTGGTAAGATGTGGCCAGCAGATGATCCGACTTTAAATTAAGTCTTTGCTTTCCTTTCTGCTCACTGTAGTTAGACATGAGTACAAAAACATAAAAATCAGCAGGAGAAATTTTGCTGGGCAGCACCTCCCAAACATGTATTGATAGGTCAACACAAGATTGCCTGCAGAACCCTCCCTTAGAACAACCCATCACTGTCTGTCCTTCCTGAATTCAGATTTATAGGTTCAAAACTACCCACAGCTTTACTAATATAACCCATATTAACATTTCCCCCCATGGTGTCATCCTCCCAGAACGAGGGTTTGATTGGGTTTAATCATTTGCTGTAAGAGGAGTGCTCACAGGCTTCCATGTTCAAATGTGTTAGCAGATGACAGACAGTGGGTGTAAATGGAAATAGCAATGTGGAGACTAAAGTTAATGGGAGCCACATTGATCTGACATGACAAAAACAACGTAGCAGGACAAAGATACACATAATCAGTAGGTCAGATCCAAACTGAAACCTTCAGTGTACAGTGGGAGATGTGTCTTTTCCACACTGATGGAATTTTGAAGTGTTGACAACAAAACTCCATATCCCTCTCTGTTTCTTTCAGCCAAGCTGAGATCTCTGATCCCAAAAATATTTTAGATAATCATGCAGTAAACTGCTTCAAAATACATGACCTCATGTTATAGCAGGTGTTTTGATGACAAAGGTAGAGTTTCCCTGATCATGTTTCTACCTGCAGTCATTGTTTTCACATTCCAGCAACAGAGTTCTCGTTAAACTTTCCCACCCTTCCTTAAACTTACAGTGGTGTGAAAACGTGTTTGCCCCCTTACTGATTTCTTATCTTTTTGCATGTTTGTCATACTGTAATGTTTCAGATCATCAAACAAATTTAAATATTAGTCAACGATAACACAAGTAAACACATCATGCAGTTTTTAAATGAAGGTTTTTATTATTAAGGGAAAACAAAATCCAAAACTACAAAGCCCTGTGTGAATAAGTGTTTGCCCCCTAAACCTAATAACTGGTTGGGCCACCCTTAGCAGCAACAACTGCAATCAAGCGTTTTCGATAACTTGCCATGAGTCTTTTACAGCGCTGTGGAGGAATTTTGGCCCACTCATCTTTGCAGAATTGTTGTAAGTCAGCCACATTGGAGGGTTTTCGGGCATGAACTGCCTTTTTAAGGTCATGCCACAGCATCTCAATTGGATTCAGGTCAGGACTTTGACTAGGCCACTCCAAAGTCTTCATTTTGTTTTTCTTCAGCCATTCAGAAGTGGACTTGCTGGTGTGCTTTGGATCATTGTCCTGCTGCAGAACCCAAGTTCGCTTCAGCTTGAGGTCACAAACGGATGGCCGGACATTCTCCTTCAGGATATTTTGGTACACAGCAGAATTCATGGTTCCATTTATCACAGCAAGTCTTCCAGGGCCTGAAGCAGCAAAACAGCCCCAGACCATCACACTACCACCACCATATTTTACTGTTGGTATGATGTTCTTTTTCTGAAATGCGGTGTTACTTTTACGCCACACATAATGGGACACACACCTTCCAAAAAGTTCAACTTTTGTCTCGTCTGTCCACAGAGTATTATCCCAAAAGTCTTGGGGATCATCAAGATGTTTTCTGGCAAAACTGAGACGAGCCTTTATGTTCTTTTTGCTCAGCAGTGGTTTTCGTCTTGGAACTCTGCCATGCAAACCATTTTTGCCCAGTCTCTTTCTTATGGTGGAGTCATGAACACTCACCTTAACTGAGGCAAGTGAGGCCTGCAGTTCTTTGGATGTTGTTGTGGGGTCTTTTGTGACCTCTTGGATGAGTTGTCGCTGCGCTCTTGGGGTAATTTTGGTCGGCCGGCCACTCCTGGGAAGGTTCTCCACTGTTCCATGTTTTCGCCATTTGTGGATAATGGCTCTCACTGTGGTTCGCTGCAGTCCCAAAGCTTTAGAAATGGCTTTATAACCTTTTCCGGACTGATAGAGCTCCATTATTCTCTTTCTCATTTGTTTTTGAATTTCTTTGGATCTCGGCATGCTGTCTAGCTTTTGAGGATCTTTTGGTCTACTTCACTTTGTCAGGCAGGTCCTATTTAAGTGATTTCTTGATTGCGAACAGGTGTGGCAGTAATCAGGCCTGGGTGTGGCTATAGAAATTGAACTCAGGTGCGATAAACCAGTGTTTTGACAGGGGGGCAAACACTTGTTCACCCAGGGCTATATAGTTTTGGATTTTGTTTTCCCTTAATAATAAAAACCTTCATTTAAAAACTGCATGATGTGTTTACTTGTGTTATCTTTGACTAATATATAAATTTGTTTGACGATCTGAAACATTACAGTGTGACAAACATGCAAAAAGATAAGAAATCAGTAAGGGGGCAAACACTTTTTCACACCACTGTATTTATGTTTATCTGCAGTTGCACCTAACCCGACCAGTGAAGTGGAGTGAGTCCCAATGTCCGCAGCCCGGTCTTCTTCTCATCATCTCCATCATTGACTGTGTACACTCCTATGCTCGACACCCGGTTCCATTGTTCCTCTGTTCATTTCTTGTCACTTGTACAGTTTGGAGGTGCAAGATACCTGAGCGTGTAATGTTAATTTTACCTGTGATCCTTTGAATAAATCAGCACTGTTTTGAAGTTACTTGGACTGCCTCGTCTCTCAGAGTTAGCAATGGTAACAAGAACTGGACCCTACAGTAGTATGTGGTGAACTTGATGTGTACCATTTATTGCCAAAAATGTGGATCTCAATTCACTAAACGGTGTGTGTGTGTGTGTGTGGCATACTAACCTTGTGTTTTATAGTGAGTCATTTAATCTGCTTGGGGCTGATAAACTCAAGATAAAAAGCTGACAAGTTCACAACAGCGAGAAATTAAGTATGCCACCTTTGTTATACCTATGATTTTTGATCTTTAATTTCTATTCAAGCTGAACCCATAAAGCATAAATGTAGTACATGCACATTACTTGAGGATTTATTAAGAAACATGACTTCAGTGCGTGAGTAGATCTTTGTTTTGTGTCCAGGTGCTGGTGTCCTTTTTGCATTTTTAAAAATACTTTAGCATCATTCTCGTTTCATTGCATATCATAGTCTACTAATTATCATGGCATGGAGCCACTGCTCTACTTTATCTGTACTAAAACACCTGCACAAAGTTCATTTCAGCAGCAATGCCATTCCTCTTTAGGCCTAGAAGAGCCAAGTACATGTCAATTCTCTCTGGAAGATCCAAACCTCAAATATGAAGCTAACTGCTCATAGAATTAAACTGTTAAATCTCTATGTGGTCCTCCATCACAACTAATTCATGAACACTGACAGATGAAGTGTGATGTCCCTCGCACATAAATACTAAAGATTAGATCTATGATATTGTTTTTTTTCATAGCCAACATTATAGTCACGATTATATCAACCTGTATGATACTGTGAGGGAATAACATATTACATCATATACAGGTCAAACAGTTCTGTCTTCATATTCATGTCATCTGCCTGGTTGATGACATTTTCACTGCATACAAGCTAATGGAAACAACCTCACCAATGCTTTACCAGCTGCTGTTATGTGATAAATTGAACATGTGGAAAGTTACAAATTGCACCTTTAAAGAAAAATGCAAATACTTGGAGCACTGGTGTTATGATGCTATAAAACTGTCACCACCAAACCCTGACTCCAGTGCTCTTTCAGTGAGAAGAATTTACAGCACATAAAGCTTTAGAAAAAAATAAGGCTCATTAACTGTGTAAAAATGTCCCTAGTTATTCCTTTTGCACCTCTATTGTTAAGTGCTATAATGCCATTATAACATCACAACATAATGTTAAAAATATCCACCTCAGTTCATCTTCAGATCCCAAAAAACAAGAGAGAGCTATACTGTAACTCATCAATGCTGCTAAAATAAAGTGTCTCTGTTAGTCTGAATGCCATGTGGATGTAATGTGCTGCATCTCCATCCATCAGTGCTTTGAGGTGAGCGTTAGGGTGGAGGAGACACGGAAGATCTGAGGCAACATGTTGCTCAACTGGTAGAACATCTCTTCTGAGATACTCTGTCAAAACAAGCAAACAAACAGAGAGCCAGGATTAGCAAGCAAGAGGGGAGTGAGATTGCTGCAGCACCAGCAGTAAAGAAAACCTTGTGCATACATTTTCACTCCACACGACGATGGATTTAAAATGTTGTTTTTTTAGATTGGTGCTGCATTTAAACTATTATACCATGTGCCCATAAAAACAAAAAAACATCTGGACTGACTGTAGAGCCAAGTGTTAACAGCCCCCAAGGCACCCTTTAGTTCAACATCACAGGGTCTTTTTCTCCCAAGGGTTCGCTAGTCAAGATACTGAATAGATGTGAGCTCCGGCAGCTGTGACCTTAATGGGGAAACATACCGTGCCCCTCTAAGCATTGCCACCCGTCAAATAAGAATGTTAAGTATTAATCTTTAAAGTACAAACAAAGTCACACACATCATTCAAACACAAGCCTGCAGCGTATATTTAGCCATGTCCCTTTGAGGTGTAGAAAACAATGCTGTTTCAGTAGGTGTTGTTCTGAATGGTGTCTGAGCATGTAGCTGACAGGAAGCCCACAGTCAGAGTCCTTTGGTGCTGTGGGTTTTATCATCTTAACTTGTCAACATGAGATCATGCTATAGGCTCTGCTGCCTTCCTAGCAAACCACAAAAGCTGTAGGTATACAACATCTAGCTAAGCCCAAAATAAAATAACAGTCAGGCTTCATCCAGCATTGAGGCCACAGTTACTCGAATATATGACAGAAAACACTGCTTCAAAGCTGAACCTGAATATCTTTTACTTGTAATGCGACATCAATTTGATGTAAATTCAAGATGCAAACTCAGTGTTGGGGAGCTACACTTTAATCGGACTGCTTATCACACAGTTACTATACATGGACAAGTCTCTGAGCTTTCTTCTACACAGCAGTGTAAGCACTGCTCAAAAGAACCTAAAGCTCTATAATCTATCAGATTCTATTCAAGCGGTCTCCATTCTCTGCCTGCATTAATGCAAGGCTGGGTGTGTCTTTTGTAAAGTACATGCAAGTCCCTGGGTATACATTTCTGTTGAATTTACATAAAGCTTTGCTGTCAGGCAATTGCTTAAAGGATGACTGTGTTCACATCAGATATAAGTTGTGACAGCACACATACTGCTCTCACCTTTGGCACTAGAAACTGGACCGTGCGTGATATACCTCCATCCCATGAGGCCATCTCCATCATGAAGCCTGGCAGTGAAACAGATTGACAGCAGCTGATATTTAATTTTCCACTGTAGAATTTCAATCTAGCAATTATTTTGCTATGAAGATTTCAGATAAAATTATTTTGTGCACCCATTTCCCTCAACCTGTCTTCTCTCTAATTTGGTTTGTGGTTTTGAATGTTCTCAGAATGAGAAAAGCTTAGACAACTGCGCATAAATGGTAAATGCTTTCAGTACATGTAGGCCAAGAGAAAAAGGGCACAATAAAAGAACACTACATTTTTTGACCTGCATTGCATTATGGTATATTTGCAATGCTGTCAGTGGACACAACTGACCTGTCGGATTTCAGCTCACAAAAGAAGCCTCTACTCTTTGATTCTGAGCAAACGAAAACAAGAGCTAATGTGTCCAATACATGTTTTAGACAGCCTGACATTGTGAGTTTGACTGATCTCTGCTATGAAATGTCATGTGAAAATATTACACCTAATAACAAGTGTTGTTAATATTTGGGGAGTTATCTCTGATAGAAGACACCACCAACAACAAAATGGCCACAATACCAGGTGCAATGCAGATCGCTGTGTTACCAGTTTTAATGTGTGTTGGGGTGGCATAGTCATCTACAAATAAGTCTTTACACTTTCATATTACCTTTGACACATTTGAATACCAGCTCGGCTCTCTTAAGACACCAGGGTATGGTCATTTCCTGCAGACAGATGAGAAGAGAAATGAGGTGTTTTGTTTGTTGTGTTTAAAACTGGCAAGAAAATGAAACTTCAAGATAAAACGTGGGTAAATTATAAACAACTTCAAATAGTCCAGGAAATGCAGTAGTGTTATAATCATTATTTCAGGTACTTTTCATTTCTATTTATGTGCCTCTTTATTTACGTTAGGGGTTTTTGTCTGCTCACAGGTAAACCAATTTAGTTCTTAAACATGTTTTTTCATTTTTCATCTTTTTAAATTAGTTTGTATGGGTTAAAACCTTTCCTGTGTTGTATAGAATTATATCACATAAATCTCATGTTTTTGATTTTCCAGTTCATTACCACCCCGTTGATCTGTTTTCTATGCTCTAATTTGTTAAAACCACAGTGTTCAGAATAAAAAAGGGCAGATCAATTTGTGTAGGCGTCATTGTAACTACGAGTGAACTGTGATTAAATACACATTACTTAAACTTGCAGTATATGCTTACACACTAGTTTTGTATTAGTACTGCAACACCTTGAGCCAAACTGCATGGATTTGTGCAACAGGTCTTTGAGAATGAGTGAGGCTGGTATTAGTGTGGAGTTAAGTTAGCTCTTGCTGTTCACAGGAGCACTAAAGGCATAGTCAAAGCAATGAGGCAAGAAAAGGTAATTTCGTATAACCACAAAAATGAACATATCAAATGTCAAACTGCATAAGAGCTATTGTCTGCGAACCAGAGCTCTAAATTGATTGACAAAGTTTTCAATTTCCTCTCCACAAACTTTTAAACATGTATTATAATAATATCACTGTATAATAATATCACTGAGCAAATTCTTCTGTGGTCCCTTTTCTCAAATGCTCTCAAAGGAAAAACATCTAAAATTAAGAGTACAAGACACAGCCCTGCTTTATTTTGACTGCAGTCTGTAGTTCATGTAGTCAAGCTATGTCAGTTGTTTTAATGCCAGAACACAAGAACAGGCATCTACAGACAAACATCTTGACTAAATGGGAAACAAGACCAAGAAGATGATGACAGAGGGGAAGTTGATGTGAAACCAATTAATGATCCTCTGGTTCCCAAGACTTCAAAAGTTAAAAAATTGTAGTTATGTAAACTAAGACATGGGAAGGAAACGTTACGCTAGGCATGTTGTGGCATGAGTGCACTCCAGACAGAATGACACTTTATTATAGACTCAAGGTCCAAGTTCAGAATAAATAGACAATAAAAGAACAGTTAAAAGAACAGAGGTTTGTTGAGAATTACTTTCCATCTGATGGGATTCTGAGTTCACTATGTTTTAAGCTGTACTCTTTTTAACAACTAAGAAGGAACTGCTATTCGGGTTCAAATAAAATCCCAATGACATTCATTTTCAGAAGACCAAATAAAATAGATGTAATTTCTAGATGTAAAGAAAAATCCACCTTATTTTGACCTGTTATTGGCCAACACTTCATTCAGGCTCAGTTCATCAGCCACCGAAGACTTTCTCTGTTACTCTCCACTGCTGTATGAGCACAGAGCGCTGCTGTATACACTATGAGGTAGTAAGGAAAGAGAAAAGTTCATGACTCTTTGCTTTGCCTTTCTGGGCTTAAGCTTGGGAAATGTTAAATTGTAGGCTGACAGCCAGTGTCTGACAAGCCAGACCAGCAGGTTTTCTTTACACACATTTACACAAACAGTCGGAAACTACTTAACCCTCCTGTTATGTTGCGGGTCAAATTGACCCACGAACATAACTGCTGAGCAGGCATCACCTGAGAAATGAACATAACAGGAGGGTTCCCTCCTGTTATGTTCATTTCTTCATATCAAATATTTGTCTCATTTAAAGCAGTTATGTTTGTGGGTCAATTTGACCCACAACATAACAGAAGGGTTAACACAGAAGTACAAAAATGTCCTAGTAGGATTACAGATTAAAGTTCAAGAGCTGAATCTGCCTTATTAAAATGCTCTTGAGCAACACTGGAGTGATGCTGTGTAGCTGGGTCTGACCACTGAGTCCCCAAGAGACCACAGAACTGTAAAACAAGGAGAAACAGTCCACCCAAAATGAAATTTCACTCATTTATTTTTTAAACATTTTCACCTTTATAAGACAGATGATAGTATACATACCGACAGGAAACATGAGCAACGACGGAGGAGTACGACATGCAATAAATGTCCCAATATATGCACCTGAAACACTAAATCAGTGGTCCCAAGCCTTTTTTGTCCGATACACACCCCTGATAAATGAATGTAGCCATTTGACCAACACCACCTGTCATGTTACAAAAGTGTTTCAAGTTGATTAGGAACATACACAGTTGGAACATACACCGTAGCCAAATATATTTAAACTCAGTTTTACACAATTCCTGACATTTAATCCTATAAACATTCCCCGTGTTAGGTCAGTTAGAATCACTTCTTTGTTTAAGAATGTGAAATGTCAATAATAGTAGCAAAAAAGATTTATTCCTTTTTTCTTTGATTTCTTTCATCACATTCCCAGTGGGTCAGACGTTCAGATACCCTCGGTTAGTATTTGGTGGCATTGCCTTTAAATTGTTTAACTTGGGTCAAATGTTTCAGGATGCCTTCCACAAGCTTCTTACAATAAGTTGCTGGAATTTTAGTCCATTCCTCCTGACAGAACTGGTGGAACTGAGTCAGGTTTGCAGGCCTCCTTGCTCTCAGCACACTTTTTCAGTTCTCCCTACAAATTTCCGGTTGGATTGAGGTCAGGGCTTTGTGATGACCACTCCAGTACCTTGACTTTATTGTCCTTAAGCCATTTTGCCATAACTCTGGAAGTCTGCTTGGGGTCACTGTCCATTTGGAAGACCCATTTGTGATCAAGCTTTAACTTCCTGGCTGATGTCCTGAGATGTTGCTTCAATATATCCACATCATCTTCCTTCCTCGTGATGCCATCTATTTTGTGAAATGCCCCAGTACCTCCTGCAACAAAGCATCCCCACAACATGATTCTGCCACTCCCGTGCTTCATGGTTAGGATGGCTGGCAAGCCTCCCCCTTTTTCCTCCAGATATAATGATGCTTATTATGGCCAAACAGTTCAATTTTTTTTCATCAAACCAGAGAACATTTCTCCAAAAAAGTCAGATCTTTGTCCCCATGTGCAAAACTGTAGTCTGCTCTTTTTATGGTGGTCTTGGACTAGTGGCTTCTTCCTTGCTGAGCAGCCTTTCAGGTTATGTCAATACAGGACTCGTTTTACTGTTGATATTTTGGTACCCGTTTCAGTGCCTTCACAAGGTCCTTTGCTGTTGTTCTGGGATTGATTTGTACTTTTCAGACCAACGTACATTCCATCTCTAGGAGACAGAATGCATTTCTTTTCTGAGCGGTATGATGGCTGCGTTGTTCCATAGTGTTTATGTTTGCATAGTATTGTTTGTACAGATGAACGTGGTGCCTTCAGGCGTTTGGAAATTGCGCCCAAGGATGAACCAGACTTGTGAAGGTCCACAATTTTTTTCTGTAGTCTTGGCTGATTTTCCCATGATGTCAAACAAAGAGGTACTGAGTTTGAAGGCCTTAAAATACATCCACAGCTGCACCTCCTATTGACTCAAATGATGTCCATTAGCCTATCAGAAGCTTCTAAAGCCATGACATCATTTTGTTGAATTTTCCAAGATGTTTAAAGGCACAGTCAACTGTGTATGTAAATTTCTGAACCACTGGAATTGTGATATATATATAAGTTATGAGAGAAATAATCTATCTGTAAACAACTGTTGGAAAAATTACATGTGACGCATAAAGTACATGTCCTAACCGACTTGCCAAAATGAGAATTTGTTAACATGGCATCTCTGGAGTGATTAAAAAAAAATCAGTTTTAATGACTTCAACCTAAGTATATATAAACTTCTGACTTCAACTGTATAATGGTGAATATTACAATATTTTTTTGGATACCACTGAACACTAAGTGTTTAGGTTGATTACATTTGCACCACTTGAGTGGCTTCAGTTGAAAGCTTTATCTGTTTTTATCCATTACTTTCAGCAAGCTATTTCATCTAACTATCAGTGTCCATAGCTATCTGTTCCTAACTTTATACGGCTTTCACCTTTTCAACCATTATGAAGTCCCTTAGCCGAGTAGTTCAACCATTTTTTAAAATCTTTTAGCTGTTAGCACTGCTTATACCTGTACATTTTTTAAGCTAAATGTTTAGAATTTAGAATTTTCTGCTTGCTTGCTAACCATATTTCACTCTGAATCACAATACATAGCATTTTATTAAACTCCAAAATGATCTTTTCACATAAACTGGCATCAGCAGGGAAAAAACATGTACTAAAATAATAATTCCACAGAAACTCATAGGACCATCAATTACAGAACTACAGTATTTGCTTCCAGAGCCAAATAACTTCTCTGTCCATCTCAAACATTTACCTTTTGTGATGGTGATTTCTGTAAGTTCTGTGTTTTCCCTTTGACAATGCACCATTTGAAGAAATCTTTTCTCACAGTATTTGGAGCTGTACAAAATGGGCTTGTTAACATGTGTAGTTTGGGAGAAGGCTAAGCTACAACTGTTGTGGCTAACTCACTACAAGTTTGTTGATCCTACAAATTTTGACAGTTTGGACACACTCATGAGATAAGAATATAATTACATCTTCAATTTAGGCTTAATTATATTATTATCAGATTACTCCACTATTATAATCCTAATGAAGCGTGTGTATGTGTGGACTGTGGATTCTGTCAGTTAACCATTCGCAGCACTGTCAGTTATTCTTACCTCTGACATGTCATGGACCAGCAGCAGAGGAACTGTGACAGTGGTGATGTCATGTGTGCAGCAGACTTTCAGGATGTTTCTCAAGCCCATGATGGCTGGATCCCGTGCCGTGATGTTCCCTGAACGGACATTGTCATCGACACAAAGGTGGAAGACAATATGAACCTCTGACAGGTTGGAGTGCCGTGAGATATAGAACTCACCTTGAGGAAAAGAAGAAGCAGGTAAATTTAAAACGTGTGTAAAGAGCAGAAAAAGACACAACTAGTGCAGTCTAAATGACACTACAAAATGATGTACCTTCTTTACCTAATCCAGTTTCTAGTGCCAAAGGTGAGAGCATTTGTTAATTTTTTGGCTCTGTGAGGAAAAACATTGATAAACATTACCTGGTAAGATGTTAGAAGTATTTCGTTCAACATTTTTGCTCTTGTCATCACCTCCATTCTTAGGAATCTCTGTAAAGAAATAACATTTTAAAAAACCCACCACAATCAGTATGCAAGTGATGAAGATAGCTCATTAGGATGCTTACTGGCATCAGCTGCTGCACTCTAGCAAGATTATGTCTATACAGAGCTCAACCCTTACTGTGGTAAGTATATGAACATAGTTTGTCAACATATTAGCAGTAATGTAAAGTGTCTTCTGTTTCCTGTTTAATTCCCCTCTCAAATTGCTGACAATCTCCAGCTCTGTAAAAAGCCTTACAATACTGTTACAGTCATGTGTATAGTCCAGTTCATTGTTTTGAGTAGCTTGAACTGTAACTTCTTGTATGTGGTATCAAAATAAGAGATAAACTAGAATTACTACTTTGTAGTTGTATGCCTCCACCAACCAGGCAGTAATGGGACGTGTGGTCACAGTGACTTTGACCTTTGACCACCAAAATCTAATCAGTTCATTCCTGAGTCCAAGTGGACAATTGTACCACAATTGAAGAAATTTTCTCAAGGCATTCCTTTTTTTTGAGACAGACAGATGCACAGACAGACAAACAACCCAAAACAATAATGCCTCCAGACACAGCTATCACCGGCACAGAGGCATTAAAAATGCTTTTTCTTGTCTGACATGTCGTGGAGCAGCAGCTGAGGTAAATTAGAGATCAACCTCAAAGTGCATATATACTGAGAGGGGAAAAAACATTTTAAGATGGTACTTGTATAATTTAGATTTGTTTAAGTATGATACAATTAAACAAGGCCTTGAGTAAAAATATCATTTAAGCATTTTATAATATATAGTTGCTCCCTAGGACAATCCTTTTGTCCATGTGGCTAGCTACAGTTGTACTTCCTGGTGAAATTGATCCTCTTTCTCCACCGGATCCCCTGGCTACATTATAGCTGTGGAGACAATGAGAAAGTGCAGCTAGAAGTCTAACCAGGTTGTTCTTTCTGCTTGCTGCTCCGCTGGGCTCTGGCATAGAGCACAACCTGCTGTACCTCCTCCAGCTGCTCCTCCAGACAGGGAAAGTGGAAGTCTGTGCACTCCTTTGCCACAGTCGCAAAGTCTGGTGTCAACACAGAGATGAAATGATGCATGAAAAGTTCCTCACTTACATAATTAAATCACTACCCCCACTGGTTAAAATCTAGCCAGAGCTCATCTCCACACTCTTGATTTAAAAAAAAAATCACATCATACTCAAGGTGAATTGAGTGACTTGTCTTTAAACATTTAAAGAGGTGTGAAAGAACAGTGTTGTTCTCCCAGTAAAGGTGAGAGACAATCAAAGTGAATCATGCGTAGGACTAAAATAAAAATGTTACAATTTGCTGGTGTGAAAATATAACAAAGCACTGCACAAACTATTGTAGAGAATATAAACATGCTGGTCACCCAGCACACAGAGAACAACACCTCAGCTTCGAAAGTGAAAGATGAAGACAAGACATCAAAAAGGGCCACCAAATGACATAATGAGATACATTACATAATTCATCATGTCTGCTGACCTCTCTTGATGCCGCTGTAGGAGTTGACTCTATTGTCAACCAACAGCACCAGACCACAGAGTGAGGAAGAATAGAGTGAAAGGGCCGCCTGGATCCGCTGCAGCTTTGCTCCACTGCTGCCGTGTCGTCGGTGTTTACAGAAATCCAGCACGTCTGCACGAACCAGTCGCAGGTTGTGCATCGTCTTCAGTTGTGCTCCTGTTAAAAATAAACAAATACATAAAGAAACCAACAGATGTTAACTGACAAATCCATTATAGATCACAGATATTCAATATTAAAGAAATATTTACAATTATATAAAAAAATATGGTTGATGTGTATGGAAGAACAGCTTGTTACCTAGGTGTATTGTGAAGCTCTCTTCCAGCTGAGGCTGCTCCTCAAACATCCTGGCCCCAGAATGTGCCAGCTCTGACAACTGGCTGGGCTGCACCTTGATCTCCTCACTGGAAATCAATCAGGAAATGTATAATCAATTCATAGAAACAACCATAAAACACAAAATATACACTACATATTTTGCAGATGCAGACAATATATCATAATATTTTATAAATGGTTGCTAAACTGCCCAGAAAATGACAATACTGGACATACGGTATAAGGTGGGTGGCACAGCAGAGCAGTGGTTAGTGCCGCTTCACAGCAAGAAGGTTCCGGGTTTAGGAGTGAGTGTGGGTGTGTGTTGTTGTTTGTCTACATGTCAGCCCTGTGACAGACAGGTGACCTGTCCAGGGTGTACCCCGCCTCTCACCCATTGTCAGCTGGGATTGGCCCCAGCTCCTATTCAGGGATAAGCGGTATAGATAATGGATGGATAGATGGACATATAAGGCACTTTTCACAATTTTAAAGACAATCCCACCCAGCAGCAGTTTCTGTGCTTATGTCTTGGTCAATGAATACAGTAAAAAAGGAAACAATGCTGTGCACAAGCATGTATCAGCACTTTGTTATAAAATACACAGTGTGTCAAAGGAATCACAAATCCCCCTGATTTCTGTGCAGCTTTTTTTTTACGGGCTGCTGCTTTAACTGAAACTGCATATTTATCAGGTGTACAGAGTGCCAGAGTTCCACATACACACAACAAGATATTGGTATTCATCATTAAGGCAAAAAGATGCAGATCAACACATTATCAGAGAAGCTCTTAGCATAAAGGTCCTGGTTGCTTCTGTTTTGTTTTTGTTTTTTTGTTGTTTGATGAAATATCCAATATACAGTGCTGTGAAAAAGTATTTGCCCCCTTCCTGATTTCCTATTTTTTGCACATTTGTCACACTTAAATGTTTCAGATCATCAAACAAATTTAAATATTTATAAAGCTACGGTATATAAAGGTAGACTTAAATCTCAATGCATAAGCAATCCCCAGCCTCTGCGCCAAAGACATCTTCTTCTTCTTCTTCTTTTGGCTGTTCCCGTTAGGGGTCGCCACAGCGAATCATCTGTTTCCACCTAACTCTATCCTCAGCGTCCTCTACTCTCACCCCAGTTAACTTCATGTCCTCTTTTAGCACATCCATATATCTCCTCTTTGGCCTTCCTCTTGACCTCTTGCCTGGCAGCTCCATCTCCAACATCCTTCTACCAATATAACCACTATCCCTCCTCTGCACATGTCCAAACCATCTCAATCTGGCCTCTCTGACCTTGTCCCCAAAACAGCCGACCTGAGCTGTCCCTCTGATGTGCTCATTCCTAATCCTGTCCATCCTGGTC